AAAACGCCAAATACCCTAACTTTGCGAAATAAACCGATTTGGCCCATGTTTTGGACTTTTCCTACTAATTGGACCCCAGGCACATGGGAAAAAGCTTAAACCCAATTAAAAACAATTAGAGAAAAAAATGCAAATTTTATAGTTACAAGGGACGACCGCAGGAAAAGTGCTCAAATCCAAATACATTTGTATCTCGAAGAGTTACAAAGCTACAGAGCTGAAATTTGGCAAGCATATGCACATGGACCATGTCGACATTTAGAAAAAAACAGAGCTCAAAAATTCCCCATAGGGAAAAAGTAAGCCCAGAAAATGTTCCCGATATTCTGCTCCATAGGCCATAGAGACCGAAAACGCCAAATATCCTAACTTTGCGAAATAAACCGATTTGGCCCATGTTTTGGACTTTTCCTACTAATTGGACCCCAGGCACATGGGAAAAAGCTTAAAACCCAATTAAAAACAATTAGAGAAAAAAATGCAAATTTTATAGTTACAAGGGACGACTGCAGGAAAAGTGCTAAAATCCAAATACATTTGTATCTCGAAGAGTTACAAAGCTACAGAGCTGAAATTTGGCAAGCATATGCACATGGACCATGTCGACATTTAGAAAAAAACCAGAGCTCAAAAATTCCCCATAGGGAAAAAGTAAGCCCAGGAAATGTTCCCGATATTCTGCTCCATAGGCCATAGAGACCGAAAACGCCAAATACCTTAACTTTGCGAAATAAACCGATTTGGCCCATGTTTTGGACTTTTCCTACTAATTGGACCCCAGGCACATGGGAAAAACCCAATTAAAAACAATTAGAGAAAAAAATGCACATTTTATACTTACGAGGGACGACTGCAGGAAAAGTGCTCAAATCCAAATACATTTGGTTTTCGAAGAGCAAATTTGGCAAGTATATCCATATGGATCATGTCGACATTTAGAAAAAAACAGAGCTAAAAAATCTCCCATAGGGAAAAATTAAGCCCAGGAAATTTTCTCGATATTCTGCTCAATAGGCCATAGAGACCGAAAACGCCAAAATATCCCTTACTTTGCTAATTAAGCCGATTTGGCCCATGTTTTTGGACTTTTCCTACTAATTGGACCCCAAGCACATGAGAAAAAGCTTAAAACCCAATTAAAAACAATTAGAGAAAAAAATGCAAATTTTATATTATAGTTACAAGGGACACCTGCACGAAAAGTGCTCAAATCCAAATAAATCTTTATCTTGAAAAGTTACAAAGCTATAAAGCTAAAATCTGTCAAGCATATCGGCATATCGACATGGACCGTCTAGACATTTAGAAAAAACACAGAGCTAAAAAATCTCCCATAGGGAAAAATTAAGCCCAGGAAATGTTCTCGATATTCTGCTCATTAGGCCATAGAGACCGAAAACGCCAAATATCCCTTACTTTGCTAATTAAACCGATTTGGCCCATGTTTTTGGACTTTTCCTACTAATTGGACCCCAAGCACATGAGAAAAAGCTTAAAACCCAATTAAAAACAATTAGAGAAAAAAATGCAAATTATTATAGTTACAAGGGACGACTTGCACGAAAAGTACTCAAATCCAAATAAATTTCTATCTTGAAAAGTTACAAAGCTACAAAGCTAAAATCTGGCAAGCATATCGGCATATCGACATGGACCGTCTAGACATTTAGAAAAAACACAGAGCTCGAAAATCTTCCATAGGGAAAAAGTTAGCTTAGGAAATGTTCCCGATATTCTGCTCTATAGGTCATAGAGACCAAAAACGCCAAATACCCTAACTATGAGAAATAAACCGATTTGGCCCATGATTTGGATTTTTCCTACTTATTGGACCCCAGACATATAGGAAAACTTAAAACCCAATTAAAAACATTTAGAGAAAAAAATGGAAATATTACAGTTACAAGAAACGATTGCACGAAAAGTGCTCAAATCCAAATAATTTTTTATCTTGAAAAGTTACAAAGCTAAAAAGCCGAAATTTGGCAAGCATATCCACATGGACCATGTCGACATTTAGAAAAAAAAAACAGAGCTCAAAAATCTCCCATAGGAGAAAAGTTAGCTCAGGAAATGTTCCCGATATTCTCCTCTATAGGCCATAGAGACCGAAAACGTCAAATACCCTAACTTTGCGAAATAGGCAGATTTGCTGGTCACTACTAATTGATGCATTCGGGCAAGGGCCTCGAGAATAACCCCATTACATCGACTTGGTTGCCGGCAAACATGCAGAAAACGTGCAGAAAGGTCATTTGAAACTATCGACATATTATGTTAACATATTGCGTTCCCTAGGTGCGTTTATAATACAAACTATTGTCTCCAATTTCATTGCGAAGATTAAGACCTGTTGTCATTATCGAAAAAAACAAAAAAGCTACTTTAATCAAGTCGGCTGTAACTAGTAAGAAAGGTTATTTCGTATCATAAAGTACAAACATTAATTGTGGGACTTTGCTTTCAGCAAAGTCCCAGTTTGTTATCGAAATGTCAATTCTTTTTTTTTTTTTTTTTTTTTTTTTTTTTTTTTTTTTTTTTTTTTTTTTTCCGTTCCCCCCCCCCCTTC